GCCTGGATTCCATTCAAGATCTTACAATTCTTAGTCCAGGGCTCAATTCCACCAACGACATGGCTTATATCCAAGGATGGGATTTGTTCTGGAAGAACATTTAGAGGATTATGATAATCCAGGATGAGTTAAATTGGGCATTACTGGTATGTTTTTACCTGTTTTCCATAATGCTACTTTCCTAAAACTGTTGCAGAGAAAGTAGGTAAATAACTTTCCCCCCACTGTCAGCAGACCATCTGCTGTTTGAGACGAGTCTCCTAGATATTATTATTATTTTTTATTTCCAGTTAGCAGTGTGTTTCCTTTAATATGATGCTTTCTGCATAATGAGCTCTGATTGTTTTCCTGCGGCCATCTTGGTATTTTGTCTGCCTTTTCCTTTCTTTAAGGTGGGAGATTTTCTCTTACTGATAGCGATACATTTCTACATTAGCACCTATTCATTTCCTTTTCATTTTATCAGAGAAAAACAATCAGAGCTGATCATTGCTGTCGTCATGGAGATTTCATGTGTTCAGAAGAAATCCAGTTGAGGAGTTTCTTTGTTAATCCCATACGGGACACTTAAGCTTTCTTGTTTGGATCCCAGCAGCCCAAGCAGGGAAGCTATTGACATTGATTACAGTGTAATTCATAAACCAGGGCAGGCAGGGGGAAGTGTGTGCAAAAGGAGCTGTCCTGGGGCCCTGGAGCTGTGCAAACCGTAGGTGCTCAGGCAGCAGTTGGTGACTGGACAGAAGAGGCGGCCAGAGCTCTAAAAACATGCTAGCATCTTGGCTGTCCACAGCATCATGAACTCAACACAGCCACCGCCAGCCTCACTATCTTCCCGGCAAACCTGTTTTCCCCCATCTTTACCACCAGGACCCCACTGTCTGTCCTTGTCCCAATTCTGTTTGTCTGAAGTCTTGACTTTCATTCTATTGATATCCACATCTCTGAGCATCCTCCTTTCTTTCTCCTCTTCCAGCCCTTGGTTCTTTGCTCTGGTTCATGGCTGCGGTCTCGTACAGAAGCATCCCTTCCCCTCCTGGCCACTTTCTTGCTCTTCCCATTGCTGCTGAAACAGTGAGACCACAGAGTAGGTCTGAAGCATGTCTTTGCTCAACAATGGTGAGATGGAAGAGTCTTCCTAATATGCAAATTTGATGATGTTACTTCTTGGCTTAAAATCCCTCAGTGGCTCCCCCTGCTTTTAAGATAAAAATACAAACCCTTGGGTTATTCAAAGGCTTTTCAAGATCTCATCAGCATCTTTTCCCATCACTACCCATTTGCATCTTGTGGCCTGGCCATCTGCATGAGTGACCAGTGACATTCCACACGATGCATCTGTTAAAGGTAGCGGTTGAGAGTGCTCTCTGGCTCTGGCATCAGATTGAATGTGGTCATGTTCCAGCTCCATCACAGAGCTCTACTACCTAGAGGGAGTTGCTTAAAGGCTCTGTGCCTCAGTTTCCTCATCTGTAAAATGGGCCTGTTAGTATCACCTAATAAGGTTGTTGTGAGAATGCAGTGTGAATACATGTCAAGTAGTTAAATCACTACCTACCATGTACAAATACTTGGTAGTTGTTATGCTGGTCTTACTATGGGTGTGATTACTTTATCTTTTGCTGCTTCCTTCTGTCTGGAATACCCTGTTACACCTTTACCTGACAAAGCCTACCCTTCCTTCAAGTCTCAGTCCCAATATCACAGCCTCTTGGAAACTAGCTTCTGCAGCTGTGTGATAGTAAAGCTTTAGGTGGTAGAGTCAGAATGCATGGCTTTAAATCCTCATTCTGCTACTGTTTTATTCTAATCTACCCTCACTAAGCCTTGGTTTCCTTGTCTGTAGAATTAGGATAATAAATAATAATATCTGTTATTTTGCTGTCATAAAAGAATAAAAGTTTATAAAAATATACCTAACATGTACTCAACACTTCATTCATGTTGTCTTGTTTTTGTTAGCAGTCATTCATTCTTACCTTTTATCGAGAACAAAGCACTGTATTATAACAATCTTTTTACTTGTTTTTCTTGGCATCTAGATTGCGTGTTATATCAGTTCAAGGACAGGGTCTTTTTCATCATTATATCATGGCACTTGACACATCACTCAGTGGGTTGGACAGGAATCCAGCAGTTTTTTCAATACATGGGACTATTTCCATGCATAATTTTAGGATACGTTAGAGGATTGTGATGGTAGGAGAAGATGATGTTGGGAAGGAAGGATGTCTTGGGATGGAGGAGTGGAGCTGTTTTCTTTCTTTGGAAAATACTGAAGACCAGAGGTTAATTGCAACTGCCCCATTTCATTTGGCACAAGGGTGAATGGGGATGGGAAGGGAAGCCTGTCTCGGAAGGGCTGGGACTCAACCAGAGACATGATGCATGTTTTATCACTGGGATTTACTAACATCATACTGGTTCTTAAATAGAGTTGTGCAGTAAATATTTAACAACCAGTGCTCCGAGAACAACACAAAGCCCTGATTTATAGTGTTTGCTGAGTACTGTGGTGTCAATACCCCTACCATGGCCACTTTCAAGCCACCACCACAATGTTATTAACCAACCTGCAAAATTCCTGAAACGGTATCAATTCACCAGTGATGAGCTGGCCCCAACATAGCGCTGTACAAAATTCTTGCTTCAGTGTTCCCATCTGTAACATGTGAATTCTATAATGTAAGCATCCTCTCTCCAAGTATAGCTGCCAGGGAGAAGTGGTCATATGTGATAAAACGTGGAAATGTCAGTGTTTTAACAATGCCACATGCACTTACCCTTACACTGAAACTCTCTTCCCGTCCACTGGCTTCGTGACATAGGGCCAGGATATGTGCCGATGATCTCTCAAAAAGCAGCCTGTCCAGAGTTCTGCTCTGAGCAGTATATTTTGTTTTATCCTCCCAATAGGGGCTATGCTTTCTGTAGCAGACTGACTCAATTAGCCTTTCATTCCAGCGTCCAATTGTCAGTCAATTCTGAGGTTGTTAAGCAAAATGAGTCTGGTGGCATTAGTCTCTCACCGAAGGACAGTAATCCTCATCACAGTTGTTGTTCAGTTAATAGTCTGCTGGAGAGACTGTGAGAAACCGGAGCTGTGGAGACGGGGCGACCTTTCTTCCATCTCTGGAGGACAGGCCGGGAGCGTGGGGCCGCCAGGTCAGAGAGCCATTCAGCAGCCAGGTTGCGTGCAGAACCAGAGCCCCAGCTGCCTGAACCTGCAGTTGGCCTTTGCAAAGTTAGAAACCCAGTGCCACCAGATCATTAACTTTCATGACCAGGAAAATTCTTTTGAAATTAACACTCAATCCAAGCTGGATGCCATTGGAGCCAGTTGAGTAAACCCGAGCCATCTTTTGGGATTTCCTCTGAAAAATAAATCCTTTAACCAGGCTACAGAAAATAGGCAGGTTTTATATCTTTCAGTGTGTTCAATTAAAGTCAGGAAACACCCGTGAGGCATGGACTGTGGTTGCCACTGAGGCGCGCACACATGCACAAGCCACAGCCACATTCGGGATTTTACCAATGCGCTTAGCTTCGGCACATGGCCTTGTTTGGGGAGCCTTATACAGGCGCTCTCTGAGGAATACAGGTGCTGTACAAGGAAAATAAAGCGGACTTCCAGCATCTGCGCCAGGGATTCACAGAGCCAGCCCTCCAGAACATAGAGAGCACACAAAATGGGCTCAGAGAGGGAAGTTTGAGCAAGCCTTGTTCACAAGGGTTCAAGAAGAGAACCAACCCCACACAAACACGCCTTTGCAGCGTACTGCAGACTTGGATAATTTCATCAGGCCTTTGAATGTTTGAATGCCCTTTCCAGTTAAAATTGCAGGAGAGGGATGCCTAACGCACTTCCCGTGGGCTTCTTAGAAACTTTGTGATCCCCACACATCCTACCTGTCTTGCTTGGGGAGCCTTATACAGGGGCTGTTACTTAGATGGCACACTTACTCAACTGGTGGAAAGAAGTGAAACAGCCCTGGGTATGTCGACAGCCAATTCTGAGGTGAGCTAAAGACAGAAGAAAAATGAGACAGCCTCTCATTTTCTCCCATAATCGCCAGATAATTTAAATTATTGTGAAGTCCATTGTGTTCTTCCATAGAAACAGAGCAGTTGTCTGCCAAGATGACCTCAGAGGTGGCCCAGCTCTCATTCAGGATTTCGCCAACAATATCCTCTTCAGACTAAAAAACAGCCAGTTGGCCGCAAAGAGCCCTCTTCCTCCCCACACCAGCATGTCTGTGGCTTCGTCCCTTTCTGGGCTTCTGGGTGGACTGCGCCGGCCCCTGGAGAGATTCCTGTGTGCAGGCAGCTGCCACATATTGCAGTGGCCCCTCCAGGCACAGCTTTGACCATAGGCGCATCCGCCCAGAGCAAGCCTCCTCTCTGTCCCTCTTGCCTTCCCCTTTGGTTCCCCAAAGGCAGGCTCCTCCTCAGTGCCACTCAGCTGGAATAAATCACTGCCCCCTGGGCTGGTGGATGAGAGGTGACTTACAAGACAGAAACATACATTCACAAAGCCAGTAGGAATTACAGGAGCAGATGGGCTGTAGGATCCTATTTTGATGCCAGGGACATGTTTCTGTATAAAGTAAATATTTTCCCAGTGTGGATCTCCGGTGAGTGTGTGAAGCATATTTCTTAAAGATGCAAATAAGTCTAGTCAGAAATAAATATTGAATGGAAACTTCAAAGCCTCTAGATTCCTCCAGTTAGAGGCCCTGAAGACTTCTCTCTGATAAGCAGAGACGCACAGGTGGACGAGGGCTGGGGGAGGGGACATTTGGAGGTTGCATAAGAAAGGATGCCAACAGTTCCATAGCTCACGTTTTCTATATATTTTGTTGGGTGTGTGTGTGTGTGTGTGTGTGTGTGTGTGTGTGTGCAGAAAAAGGCATATCAACAAAGGAATAAAGGAAACATGTCTGTCCAGAGGCTTAGGATGTTTTAAAGCACATTTCCACCCCTCCCCTTTTTTCCTATTGTAGATCTCGCCTTGCGGATTTTTTTACCAACTGCCAGCCAGAGTCAAGGTCTGTCAGCAGCTGTCTAAAGGAAAACTACGCTGACTGCCTCCTCGCCTACTCGGGGCTTATTGGTAAGGAGAAGCAGGATGGGAGTGTGGCTTGCAAATACCCGCGCTCTGTCCATTGCAGCCTGCTGATGTCTGCAGAAGTGAAAATCTCCCAGTAACCTCTGGGCCGGGGTTTGAATGTTAAATCCTTGAGGACATGCCCATAAAAGAAAAATGAAGAAGTAGAAAAGAAAAAGAAATGGGATAATGGATGCGTGAAAGGCACAGGCAGGAAGCAGGGATTATTAGGAGTGGGGAGACTGCAAGTGTGCAGACGGGCAAGGCGTCTCAGCTGGGAAACTGACCACGTAGAACGAAAGCAGAGGGAATAAAAGCTTGGTTATGGAAGAAGAAAGCAAGTCAAACAAAGTTAATTGAATTAGGGAACTTTGGAGAAAGGGAAGTCATTCAGGCTGGGGAAATCAAAAAGGCTGTTTCCCAGAAATGGCCCTTTGGAAAGAAAACCCCTAAATACTGGGGTCCTGCTTGCCATTAATGGTCTTGGTAATTCAACTCCCAGTGTACAGAGTGTGATTTAGGCTACATTTTTTTTTTCCTGAAAACAGACATAGCAGAAACATTATTTTCTGTCTGTCAAGACCCAAGGCTTTAGAAGAACCATGTTCTCAGCATTCAGAGCAGTGTGATTACACAGGACCACCATGAGAGTCAGAAGGGAAGCAGACTTGGACCCCTGGATGCACGGAACCAGCAGGGGGAAAGACAGGCATCCCAGTATGAGGGACAGCAGAAGCTTTGGTGGCAGGGCTCATCTCCACTGGCATTTGAGAAGGAACACGCAGTGAAGCCTGTGGAAGGGTGAGGAAAATCACAGTTGTCAGAAGCACAGTGGCTCAGCCAGGGTGTGTGTTCCTGCTGGCTGTCTGTGTCTGGGTCACACACGTCACCAGCAGGAAGAACCTCCCCCCCGAGAATGATAGCAGAGACTCTATTGTTTGTCACCAGAGCATCTTCAGCAGGTGGCTTTGGGAAAATCAACAATGGTACTTAATTCAGGGACAGCACAGGTTCCTGGCACATTCTTTACTCCCAACTTTTTGGAAGGATACCTGCCCTCCCTGGGTAATAGCTTTCCCCAGGTCTCTGAGTATTTTCTATATTTATCGATCGGGCCAATGAGAGTACCTTCCTTAAGCCAGTACTCCAAACTTACATTCGCTCCTTTTCCCAAGTAAGTTAATGTCTACTACGGATTACTTATCAACTATGGAATTGCAGAAATCACAACAGTCAAGGCATTCTTATTGTAAAAAGTGTTTTAAAAATACAGAGAAGCTCACAGAAGAAAATGTTAAGTATTTCCAACTCAACTCTAGCTGCATCTGCTAACAGTGTCTACGTCTTATGGATATAAGACATAAGGTGGTCAGTAATCCACAGGATGTATTTGGTTCACAAACAGAAAAGCAGTTTTTTTTCCAAGCTCCTTGGAGTCAACAGATATAATCCCTGTTAACACTTCAGTCAGTGCCCTTCCCAGGTGTACCTTCTCCTTAACCCCTTTGGGAGGGGACAAGGCCAGGTACTGCCAGCATTTCCATGAAGTTATTCCTAGGCTGGCAAACAGTTACACACCCAAGGATGATGAACGGAGGACCCAACGGCAGAGGCAATGCATTGCGTAGACCAAAATGTATTTCTCTGTTGGGTCTGCATCTCTCTCTCCAACTTCTTTCTAGACAAGGTGTATTCCTACTTCTACCATATCTGTCAGGAGCGCACCATGGCACCAGGCATCCAGGGGCCTTAACCTCCTCCTTTAGTGCTTAGAGTGCCTGTTCCTTTCTCAACCAAAGTTAGGAGCCCCCTCTATGCAGTAGGTTAAAATGTTCATCCCAAGCTATAATGTGATATTGCAATATTATTTGGTTTAAGTCAGTAAAGAATATAGGGCAAAGACAGTATGCCCTTGACTCAGAGAAGTTTAGAAAAAAAAAAAATATATATATATATATATATATATATATATATATATATTTGAGATGGAGTCTTGCTCTGTCACCAGGATGGAATGCAGTGGTGCAATCTTGGCTCACTGCAACCTCCTCCTCCTGGGTTCAAGAGATTCTCCTGCCTCAGCCTCCCCAGTAGCTGCTACTACAGGTATGTGCCACCACACCCAGATAATTTTTGTATTTTTTAATAGAGACAGGATTTCACCATGTTGGCCAGGATGGTCTCCATCTCTTGACCTTGTGATTCACCTGCCTCGGCCTTCCAAAGTGCTGGGATTACAGGCGTGAGCCACCACGCCCAGCCCAAAATTATTTTTCTGTTTGTGATCCAAATACATCCTGCAGACCTATTACTTCTTATGCCCAGAAAATATATAAAAACAAAAGCCTTTTTGTCATCAGTGGGCATTGTCTGGTGTCAGCCACCCAGGAGAAGACATTTGGTTTGGATTAAGTATAAATGCTTTGGGTGTTTATGCCAGTTTAGAACTCATCAGAAATATCATGACCCAGAAGATGTAGGCAGGAGGGACCACCCAGCATTTCTTTGAGCACCACTGAGAGTCCGGAGGCAATACTCTAGGAGCTGTTGGCTTAGATAATTTCCATTGTTTGTTTCCAGTTCTTTCACAACATTGAAGATTTTATTTAAATCAGTTGAGAAGGCCCCATATATACATATATACACTCGGTGCAGGGTAACTGCTAGAAAGCTTTGAGCTTCCCTGTGTCACTCTAAAGAAATCATTTCCTTCTGGGGGAAGTGGATTCAAAGTCCTAAACAAAATGTTTCAAGGTATGTAAACCCGGTTCTATCTATTTATGAAGATTAATGACATTTTCAAGAAAATGCAAGGGATTTGGCAACTCATGCGTTCTCTAAGTTCATACTTTCCTACTCTACGACATCCACACCATTTGGCAGGAAAGGATACCCTAAGTGCAGCTCAAGAAATTTTGTTATAATTTTCAGAGTAAACGTGTAAATTACTTTATGTGATCAAGATAAATTGCCGAGAAAATGCACTGCTTAACATAATTTCCCTCTCAGCAAACACAATGTTTGTAATTATCCACGGTATATCCACCATCAGAGGAATATTGGTTTCTTTTTAGGCTATGGAAAAGTATCATTGTACAACAATAAAATGCCTTGTTTTTATTCTTTTAGGCACAGTCATGACCCCCAACTACATAGACTCCAATAGCCTCAGCGTGGCTCCGTGGTGTGACTGCAGCAACAGTGGGAATGACCTAGAAGAGTGCTTAAAATTTTTGAATTTCTTCAAGGACAATACATGTCTCAGTGAGTTTTTAAAAAATAAGACACAAACGAGCAAACACATTTTCCTCTCGGAGCTCCAGCTGTACCTTTTGTTTCTTGTGTCTGCTTCCTCTGTCTGTCTTTTTCCCTTTCTTCTTAGTCACTGATGGTAAATCCAGTTCCTTTTGTGGCCACCCATGTAATGCAGCAGGGAACCCAACAAGTGATGAACTGGGTGCTGCCAGGACTGTGAATCCAAAGGCCTGAGAGAGTAAGAGACTCAAATAACTGAGGGTACATTATGTGGGAAAGAACACCTCTACCCTCAGATCAAATTTTGATCTTGGCAGCCAGCGGACAGTCTGTTCCAAAGGTTCTTGAAACCTGGGCGGAATATACAATGCGAGAAGCTCAGACAAATTAGATGGGGATAGGCCTCCAAGGACTCTCTGAGAAAAATTAGAATGTTAACATCAATAGCCCCTTGGATGCTCTGGGCTGGCTCAGAAGAGAAGCAACAATTCTTGAGTGGTATAAACTGGCGATGCAGGCAGGAGGCTTGGGATGCCCGTTATCTCTGGAGGCAAGATAAACGCTGGGGAAGAGGGAGGGGGGCTCCTGCTTGGAAGCAGAATCAGTTCTTATTGCAGTGTCCTTTAGGCAGTTTGGAAACATGTTCCCCAAAGGGACAGGGATAGAGAGACATGGACGGATGTGAACAATGGGCATTCATCAGACTCCAAAAGCACAGTACCAGGACTCATGTATATCCACACAGATGCGCACTCCCTAGGTGACGATGCAGCTGAGATACTTGAAAATTTCAACCCACTCTTGTAACACCCGCCATTTATTGGGTATCTTCTGTGTGTTCAAACTCACTCTGCAGCAAGTGTAAAATGTACATTCTCATTGACGATAATCTTCACGAGAATCCTTATAGACATAGGTGGTTTTATCCTGCCATACAGCTGAGTAAAGCCTGGTAATTCACACAGGCCATGCACGCCAGAGTTAGGATCTGAAGTGCAAATCCTTTTGCAGCCCCCTCTGTCCTCAGGGCTTTGTTCACCCTGATGTTGAAGGGCCTGTGGGATGAGAAAATAGGCCTGAAGTTCAGGAACCAGGTCAGTCTGACTTCCTGATGTGAGGGGTGGACTAAGTTTCTAGGAATCAAGGCTTAGCCACCCACCCCTCTGAGAGTCCTGTCTTCAAGTGGCAATTTCTCCATGATGCCTGGCTGGCAGCTAATAATTTACTATGCACACACATATGCAAAAGCTTTTGAGGATTACTCTAAAATTTCCTCATCATTTCCTTTGTTGAAAGGAAAAATCTAAGTCATTTAATTACTAGGCACTTCAGATAATGTGGCTGTCATCAATTGGTTTGGTCCTGTTAAAAATAAAACAAGCTTTTGGATTCTTAAGTGAAATTCACCCCCAAGAAAGTAGTTTCAAGTATGGAGACATTCACTAAGATATTGGGGCATATCAAGGAATCACAACTTGGACCTTTTGTTTGGTCTTGACCGAGTGTGTGTGTGTGTGTGTGTGTGTATGTGTGTGTGTGTTTCCTCTTTTTCACATCCTGCAGTCTTCTGGCAGAATGCAAGTTTTAACTAAGATAAAGCAATGACAATGGAGGAAAGTCAGTGTTAAGAAAAGATTTTTCTCATACTGGCTGGACAACTTCTCCGTCACAGAGAAATTAAAGTTGTCCCTGCCTTATAACGTTTTTGGTGAAGGAGAGAGTCATCTGGGTATCTCATTGGTAATGACTCTTCAATAAAAATAAATGCACTTGGTCTGCATGAGGGGCCAAAGCCAACCAGAATTTTTCGCAGTCATTCCATTTCCACTGTGACTAGATGGGACACAGAGCCCCAAAGACTCAGGGCCATCAGTTCAATCTCTTGCAACTAGAAGGAATTGCAATTTGTAGATCCCAACCCAAATGTAGAAACTTAATTCTGCTCCCTTAAGATTAAGCCAAACCTCTCCCAGACTCCTCAATCATGAACGCAACTCTAGCCAATTGTTTATTTCTAAATAACTGTTTGAAAGAAGAAACAGTTGTTTCAAGCCACGTGCATGACGGATGTACGGCGAAGAGAAATGGGATGGTGGTGAGGTTAGATATCAGTGGCCTTCACTCATGTCTTTATTCAGATGACACCTTCACCAGGAGGGCCTTCCTAGATCAGTTTTTCTAGGTACCAACTCCTCTCCCCACTCAGTGCTTCTGGTGCTCCCTCACTTCATTTTCTCCAACCATTGCTCACTACTTAACCTATTATATATTTCACTTATTTACCTGCAAAACCAGAATGTGACTTGCATGAAGCATGAACTTTTATCTTTTGTTGCTGTTGTTGTTCACTACTACGTGCCCTATGCATAGTTCAGTGCCTGGCACTTAGTAGATATTATATTAACATTTGAATGAATGAGCAATTGAACAACTGAACCACTGCTGTGGCAAGGCAAACATACTGGGAAAGCACAGGTAGTTGCAAGAAACTGAGTCTCTTGAATCTTCATGTTTTAAGCAAAAGCAAGCGTAGCGGTGGTGGTGGTTCTGGGCATTTAAGGGAACTGGTCACTGTGCACCTCTTTCTCTGCCTCACACTCTCCAGTTAAGCCATGGAATATAGCTGGGAGCATAAAAAGCATTTAGATTAATTTGAAGCTGTTTCTTACAGCCCCAGAAAATGTAAAGGTGCAGAAAACAAGCTTCGAATTTGCTGAACTTAAAGGATAACACTTTTAGAACAAAATGTCACTTCTAAGAGGAAGATTAGCCTTAAATTATTCTGTCTTGTATATTGAAAAATGCCAACTAAGAGTCATATATTAACAATTTGCACATTCAGGTCCCAAATGCAGGAGTTTGGTTTTTTTTATACAATGAATATGAAATAAAAAAAAATCCTAAATCCAGGCCAAATCCCTGAAGACCTGATTAGAAACTGTTTTTTATTCATTTTGGGGAGGGAAACAACACAACCAATTTACTCTTGCCATAAAAACAATCTAATCCTATGAAATTGTAATAAGATTTTAAAGTTTTACATTTTAAACTTTTCACTTAAGAAGGGCTGCTCCTACCTAATTATGTAGATTTTGTTTGGAAGACTGGAGCAGAAAGGGAAAAAATAAGCTTAAATTTTCACTAGTTATTTAGATTGGAGTTAGATTTTTTTTTTCTTTTTAAGGAACAGATTGCATTTTGCCTGCCATATTAATGGGAATGCCATTGAATTGCCTAAATCTTATGATTAGGATTTTTTAAAGCACTAATTAGTTTGCTTTTAATAAAGAATATTGACAGAGCACAAGAATTTTCTTGGAAAATGGGACAGTTATGATCCCAAGTAACAGGGCTGAGGCTGGGTTTCAAAGGGCTTGACTGATGAGTATTTCAGGGCAAGGATCTTGCTCAGCACCTGGCACATAAATAGGAACACAACAAATACTTGTTGTGTTCTGAGCATCGCTAAGTGTCCAGCTCAGAGTTTAATGACTGAATTGATTTTTGAGCACCTGACCCTAAAGACTGGCTTTCAGCATGTATAGGGCAAATGGATAGATGGGTTTTGTTCAGAGAAGTCCAATGCTATAATCAGAATTTCTAGTGTGCCTCTCTGGCTGTGTATATCCTGTCTGTTACATTTGCTGCTTGACTTTGAAATTGGATTTCCTCCTGTTTTACTGCAGAAAATGCAATTCAAGCCTTTGGCAATGGCTCTGATGTGACCGTGTGGCAGCCAGCCCTCCCAGTACAGACCACCACTGCCACTACCACCACTGCCTTCCGGGTCAAGAACAAGCCACTGGGGCCAGCAGGGTCTGAGAATGAAATTCCCACTCATCTTTTACCACCATGTGCAAATTTACAGGTAAGAACTGCGTCCAGATTCCTTGTTGGGGCTCCCTTCCCAGAGGGAGGATCACAGGCAGACTCACTTTCTGAAATGTATTCAGAGATAGATGATGAATGCTGCTCAGGTTTGAGTCTTAAAACTGCATTTTAAACACAAGCAATGAATATTGTGACATGTCATATAGTGGAGAAAAAGTCAGACTATGGAACCAACTCTCATTTACTGGGAGTATGGCTTGTATCTGGCCTTACTTTCTTCGCCTGTAAAATGAGGGCTCTGGGGAGAGTTGCATCTGTGAAGTTTTTGTGCGTGGGGTTGTCAAGTTGGCTTGTTTACATATTTATTATGCTGGTTCTGTGTTTGCTACAAAGCAGCAGCATAATGAAAAGAAAGGAGCTCTTGAGTTTGTCATCATCACACGACGTGGAGTGTTTAACTGTCTCTAAAGGTAAACCAGAGACAGAGATGCGGTTAACTCCCATGTGGAGTGCTTGATGTGGTGGTTCTTCAGAAGCAAAAGCAAGTGTTCTTTGGCAGTGGGAGGAGCAGTGAGGAGGCGCAGGCTGCCCTGCAAACTCCCGCATGTGGATACGGTCCAGTGAGAATGGTTAAGAACATTCTTTGTGGTTAATCCAGGTCTGTGAGGGCAGAAACACAGCAAGATACAAGTGGTGATTGCCTGCCTTCAGTCAAAAGCAGAGTGTTGATCCTGCCTCTTTATTGTTTTTTCATAGTAATGAGTACTCAGCTATTTGGCAGGACATTTTATTTGTATGTTCACAGGGTACCCTCACATTCTTTACCCCTTTGGGTGTTATCCTCCTGACGGCTGCAGGAGAGATGCTATCACTCTAGTACTGTAGCTTCTTTTGTTTGAGGACACAAGGGCTCAGAGAGGGAATCACTCTTGCTCAAGTCTGCAGAGCTAATGGATCACAGAGCCAGCACTAGGAATCCAGGAACCTCATTCTTTCCATGATTTTCCCTGTGTTTTAGAGGTCATGGTGACCACATGGTGACTTCTGCCTCCTGCTGTGCTGGAGAAGGGGATGTTAGGTGGTGTATGTGCCAAGCACCACGCTGTCACCTCATGCTCATCACTGGAGCACAGTTAGGCCCCTGGTCCCCATCAGGGGTCAACCTTGCTATTATTCTCATAAGATGCCCTCTTTTGCCAATACCACCTTGACCCACAACCCACTTTATTCCCTAGAAAGTGTCAGAAACATGTTTTGAGTTGCTTGGTATCTCGAGATCTCTCTGCATCTTGGATGTCTTCCATGCCATTCATCTGAGCTTGGGTCTCTGTCCTCTGTTCTTCTGGTTCTCCACCCCAGACATATAGTCTCAGAGACACTCTCATACACAAAACACTAAGGAGAGCCCAATAAGGAAACCACACATTCTAAGGTCAACCAGATATTATTCATACTTCTACTCCCTCCAAAGCACTGTGCAGATAAAGCCAGAACTGGGAGGAGCTTTGGGAAATACTATGGCATGGAACTGCTCCATCGTCTGTAGTGAGGCCCTGAGTTTCAGAGCAGGGAAGTGATATATTTGAGTCCTACAGCGAGTTGAAGGCAGGCCTAGAGCCAGGCAGAGAATAGGGTCTCTTCTCCATCTCAAGAAGGTGCTCCATACTCTGCTTTCTCCTAGGTCAGCTTTCCATGCTTTTGGGGCCCATTCAGATTCTGGTATCAGTGAAGACAAGTAGCCAGATGAGGGGGAGGATCCTATTATCATAAGGTGGTCACGGGAGGCCAGTGGTGGTTTCTGGAAAGAAAAGGCAAGCTCTGGCTACAACAAAACCAGCTTCTTTTCTGCCCATGTCTCTGTGCACAGAGGGTGACTGCAGAGGCAGCCTTCAGTGTTCAGCCTGTTGATTAAATCCCTTCTCTGTTTTAGAAACTTTGTGGAAACGAGCATTCAAAAACAAAGGTTCCCTTGTCAGTAAACTTAAAATAGTGGGCAAGATGCAACTTGTCAACATTTTTGGAAGTTAATGGGCAAAATCTCAGAATAGTCACCATTGGAAACTCCATGAGGTTGGAGTTTCCCCCATGATAGGTGAGGGTCCTGTCAGCCACAGGAGGTGTTCTCTGCTTCCCCCCAGATCTTAGCTCCTGACTTGGTCTCCTTGTGGTACAGTACAGTATGTGGCTTGGTCACACTGACAGCCAAAGCTTTTCCCTCAACACAGATCTGTCCGAACACCTTTCTCCGCAAGGAAGATCTGTACTGCCTCAGGGTTGCCCTGGCAACTCAGGGAACACAGGAGCTCTATCCCCCAGAAACCATGTCTTTCCTTTCCTGTTAGTGATAGCCAACTCTGCTTTCTAAACAGAAGGACAAAAGTAAAATTGGGAGTTCATGACAAGCTTGGCCAACATGGTAAAACCCTGTCTGTACTAAAAGTACAAAAATTAGCTGGGCGTGGTGGTGCATGCCTGTAATCTCAGCTACTCAGGTGGCTGAGGTATGAGAATCCCTTGGACCCTGGAGATGGAGGTTGTGGTGAGCTGAAATCCTGCCGTGGCACTCCAGCCTGTGCGACAGAGCAAGACTCTGTCTCAAAACAAAAACAGAAAACAAAAAGTAAAACTAAAGCATGATGTTTCTCTCTGGGCTGCCATTTAACTCCTTCGTAGAGGGAAGCATGAAAGTGTGGGGCCGTCGAGGAATGAGGGGTGGCTATGGCTACACCTCTCTTCCCTGTGATACACAGTCTCCACATACCCTGGAGCTAAACAGCATTTCTCTCCCAGGGAGTACTTAGGGTTCCGTGGAACCTCACTTTGACTCCTAAGATGATGTCTTGCATGAATCCCCTTTTGCACACATGAGTAAGAGAATAAGGGGTAAGGGCAGGGAAGGCAGCCAAGCCCATGTCAGACCCTGCTCTTGCCCTCACCGGTAATGGTAGCCTCTGTGAGCCAGCTAACCTCTCTGAGCCTGGGCTTCCTCATCTGCAAAGCACATGTATGGCTTAGCTACTGGAGTTGAGAGGATTAAGTAGGGCAGAGTGAATGTTCCAGAATGGTGCTTTATGAATGTCACATGTGATGTGATGTCTGATTCCAAGTCAGTGACCACTTGGTCCCTTTACAACAGATGGAAGGTGGTGCTGTGCTTCCTTGGGGGCAGGGTATTGGGTATGTGCTAGGAAACATTAGTGGGAGGTTACACTAACAAGTGTGTAGTTTATGTTTCAAAACCTTCTGTGTGCTTCGTCCTCTGCACTCCTCATGGCAGTCCCATGAGTCAGGTGTGGCAGGCATTCTTGCCTTTTATAAATCGGGCAACTGAGGCAGGGAGAGGCTTGTGACTTACCTAGAATCACACAGTAATTCTCTAGTGGGCTAGGATTTCTAACTTTGAGGCCAGGGCACTGTTGCCTTGTTCCATGACCCTTGGACAAATGGGACTCTTTCTCTGGATTAAGAATAGACAGTGAGGAAGAAGGAAAGAACAAGAAAGGAGAATCTGGTTTCAAGAGAACCTCATGTCCTAGTTCCTCCTGAGGTTCACTGATGCAAATGAGGGGAACAGATGCAGAGCTCCCACTTCAGACTGGGTTTCTTTCTTCATGCCTCAATTCCAGGAGACAGCACTGAGTAGAGGAAGGACTGAAAGTTTTCCAGTAACATTTTTGCAGCTTGCTGATTTTCTAGGGTGACCTCTATGAAGAATGGTTGAAAGGATCGTCTGAGGCTAGAGGATCGGGGGGATGAGAGAATGATGAGTGAAGGGCCTTCATCCCAAGAACGTGGTCCCTCCAGCTGATTTAGGACTCTTGCCCAGGCGGAGGACTCCCAAGAGACTCATTCTCCCCATCTGTCCCTCCTTTGCCTGCCTGGCTGTCTCCAGATGAATTACCATTTGCCGGGGAGTGGGGAGGGGGTCCTAGAAATATCTTAGAATGGCGTTTGTCCCAGCCACATGTGTCATTACTCAGAATAGAACTGACTTTAACCAGCTTGGGATCCATTGGTAACAGATTCAGAGAAAGTCAACTATCTTTGGCAGCTCTAAAGTTCACTTCCCTTGAGAAGCGCCCTCTTGTAATATTTTTAAATATACAATAATATGAGAAAACTCTTGGGGACTTGAGTTTTAGTCTTAACATTTGAGATAGATTTCCCCCTTGGAAGGGAAGAAACACGAATAAACATTTTCCAAAGTCTGCTCCAAAGTGTAATTATCAACAAACCAAATGCAGTTCTGCTTGGGGAAAATAGGTGACGATGGATATGGTGAATATAGGACTCATCAATGTTCCTATGAAAGGCTTTGCTTTAAAAAAGGCAAGTGGATTGATTAGTATAAAATGTTACAGAAACGTCCAAGTGCTAACCCCCTGAGGTGATAAAATACCGGGTTTTGGGTAACCCGCCAAGCTCCCATGTCAGAATTAATTGGCAGTCATATTAGTGACAAGCATGACACAGGCTGTGCTATTGTTGGCCTGTACCTTCAACTTGTTCAAAATGCTCACATGGAAAACAAAGAAACATTGATAATCCTACCAATTACTTCATATTCCGTGCACTCTCGGAGTGGTCTGGTAGCTGGAGAAAGCTCAGGATATTTAGATCAAATGGACTGTGTGTGCGTGTCACTTACTTAAAGTAAATATTTTTAGAGCATTAGAAAAATTTTCTATTTTGCATCACTGTACACTGCTTAACTGGTAGCTTACAGTGAAGACATCTTAATGAGGTGTTTGTTGATGTCTGGTTGCTGTGGTCAAATAGAGTAACCAAGATTGGGAGCTCCAGCCTTGGGACTCAGGCCTCCTGAGAAGGTTTCATTGCCTCTGCTTCTCTTCAGCCCCTTGCCCCTGGAAATGCTGTGACAGACCATGGGGTACACAGGGTAGGTGCAGGATAGATGTGGGCAGTTGCCAGGGCCTTCAGTAAACGGCACAAACCATATTCAACGTCAGGGATTGTGTGTGTGTGTGTGTGTGTGTGTGTGTGTGTGTGTGTGTGTATCACATAATATACAGCTGT